AACCCAGGTGGGTCAGGGAGTCTGGTGTTTGTCTGGCTTTTATTGCTGTGCCAGTGACACTTGCAGTGCCCTTCACGTCCCTGGCTATGTCCAGCCTTCCAGGACGGCAGTCAGCCCCCACAAGAGTGTGTGTGCAACCCATTGCAGTAACAGATCCTGAAAAGAACCCCAAAATTAGACTGTAACGTTGCTAGGAGAAGGAATGAAAATTGCATTGATTTTTCAGGGTAAAAGAATGTCAACAGCCCCTTATTGAGCAGTATCTGATGAGGGCAGGGCTGGCCCTCTCCTCTCACCCTTTCTCTCTTTCTTTTTTAATGTGTATTAATATACTTTGTTTCTCCCTCCACCTTGGATAAAACCAACCACCCTCTACTGGATGCCTGTTGGGCAGCTGTCCCTTAGCAGCCCATCAGTTAGGGAAAGGTTCTTCCCCCAGGAATGGTGGAGCACTGCAAAGGCTCCCCAAGGAATAGGCACGGCCCCAGGCCTTACAAAGCTCAAGAAATGTCTGGACAACAGTCTCGGACACATGGGGGGATTTTGGGGTGTCTTGTGCAGGGCCAGGAGTTGGACTTTTGTGATCCTTGTGAGTCCCTTCCAGCTCAGGATATTCTATAATTGCTTGTATTTTTGGATGGTCATGTGCATTCCTATACTGGGTGCTGCCCTTGTTGGAGGAGTCATTGCTTGTGTGCAAGGTAGGAAAGTGAAAAGTGCTGCAGCCAGGGAGGAGCACTGCAATTAGTCATCATCTGTACATTGATTTCTTTATTTTTTTTCTCAAAGTGCAACTTGTCTGCTGCCTTTCTGCTGCTTCCTAAAGAAGACAGATGTATTTGCTTCTTTTTTGAAGCTGGAAATTTTATAAAATGTGTTTTTGTTTTGCTTGGGGGTACCTAAAAATCGCTACATTAATTTTAAGTCCAGTGTTGAATAATAACTGCCTGGAGGTTTGTAACTTGTGTAGCAGGTTGGTGCCTGATGTGATTTTAAAAATGACCAAGACATAAAACCCTGAGAGCAAGAATTTATGGAGAAGAGATAAGAAAATTTTTATTAAGAGAATGTGCTTGTCTTTCAATTTATTTTCCCCCCCTCCTTAATATTATCTGTGGCCAAAAACATTCTAGAATTTGGATTGTCTTGAACATTGTCATTCTCAACAGCATTTTGAAGGGCAAATACCTCCTGAAGTGCTGAATAACAGATCCTGTATTTGTTCTTCAGAGGAAATCCTGTACAGTGCCCTAAAATTCTGGCTTGTTCCACCATCTCCTAAGCTGGAATGTAATTTTCCAAATGAAGTATCACTGATTCTACACCCAGGGCACAAAACAGTGCAAAATGTGCATCCCTCAGGGTGGGCTTTGGACCCTTTTCTTTGATGGGGGCTCAGTGACCCTTTTGGGCCCATTTGGTTTTCCAGGTGCACCTTAGTCCTCATTGGTACCTCAGGTGTTGAGGGTGCCAAAACCAATCTCCTGACCCAGCCTGTATGAAACTGTGGCCTGTTATGCTTCAAACCACTGGGCTTTGTGGGGGGTACCCAAAAAACCTTTTCTATGGCAGCTTTGATATTTCTGTGATGTTAACATTATAAAATGATTTCTCTGGATAATGCGCAAAGCTCAAGTTTGGAAAGAAATATGAAGGAGTAGTTGCTGGGAAGTTTTAAGCTTAGAATAGTGTAACTGTAGATAGAAAAAGCTTTTTTATTTTCATCTTAGTTGTTCTAAAGTGGATCTGATCTTATGAGATAAGGGAGAATTGCTTTTCAGGCAGAAAGGGAAAGAAATATGCAAACAATTAATGATTGAGGCAACACACACTTAAAACCCCAGCACTCCAGCAGTGTGTTCAGGACAACAACGTGCATATTTCAGTAAACACTGTTAAAGCTCATGGTTTTGTTCTGGGGGAAACACAAATCAGCTCAAATGCTATGAGACAGGGACCTCAAATAGTTGCTGTCTTTTGAAATCCAGGTCTGCAACTCTTCTGGTTACTGATAAACGGGTATCCTGTACATCCTGGGACGTAATGGGAAGGCTCTTTGCTGAGCAAGGTGTTCTCTCTGCCTCCTCCCTGCAGCCTTTGTTAGCTGAGCTGTGGATCTAGATACTCTGGGGATTCTGCAAACATTCTACAATTGTTCCCAATTAAGGGGCATGATATTCACTTTAGTGTCTTTGATCCTTAAAAAAATATCAACAACAATTTAGATGTTTTTGGCACATTTAATACATTTAAACTGCTATGCTATTTCTACATCATGCCTGCAAATCCCATGCACTATTGTAAACAGAAAATTGTGGTATTGGCCTTTCATTTTAACTCTTGTGATAATTTCTTGCAATTTCAACAGCAATGGTATCCTAGCTACTTACAATAGATGCTGGAAGTTTAACCAAGAGCCTTGTCCTTTCCAAACAGGACTTGGGGGAATGTGTAATAGGAGCATGAGAAGCTGAAACAAGCACCATACCTTGGGGGTAGCACAATCTACACTCTCTGTAATCAACAGAATCCTTGCAGCCGTGCAAGATCTGATGAAATGGGATTTGGCTTTTTTAAGGTTCAGGGGAGAGAATTTTTGCTTGTTTGCTGCTGTTGGTATCCAAAGAAGGTTATGTCTGTACATTTTTCAGAGGGGACTGCACAAGGGCACCTGGAAATGTGGGAATATGATGGGATACCAGCAGCAGATGTGACTGCCCTTGCACCCCCTGCAATCCTGCTTCGGCTGCTTGGACAGTGCTCATGAACTCTCCTGCAGTTGTTTACAGCAGGTCCTGCTCTGGGGGGTGTTTGCCAAGGATTTTACAGCTCCAGGGATGTGGCATCTCACCAGGGACTCGCTCTCCAAGGCCTTGCTTGTGTTAGATGAGAAACACCCAAAAGAAGTAAAGGACAGGGATGTGGGGTAGAGGTGACTCCTGTCCTTCAGCCTAGATGGATGCAGTGTCTTAGACTGCTGCCAAATGTACCTTGGATAAGAATTACAACCAGGTTCTCGGTTTGTAATCACATGAGATCTCATGATGCTTTTGAAAGTGTGTAGTTGCCAACCCCAGCATCCTGGCCACTTTCCAGCTCACAGAATTATCGTCTGTCTTTCCTGCCCCCTTCCCTCTACACCCCTGTAGTTTCAATTAGATAAGTCATTCTGTACTTTTCTCCAGGATAGTGCACGTGCCTGCATTCTCCCCACAGAGAAAACCTTCAACATCCACTGGATTTTTTTATCTAGACATCATTTGCTTTATGTTGTCGTTTTGTTATCTAATTAGTATTATCATGTCAGTGCACCTGATGCAACCTGTCTAGTTCTGGGGCCTGAAGGTTTGTAGGGAGTGCAGCATACAGCTAATTTATTAATCTTCTAAACTCTACACTCAGTTAATTATCTAGACTGGGTGTACCAGGCTTCTCAGTAGCGATTTTTGTCAGGAGGATGCTGGTTTACTCATCTGTACATGGTGATACAAACATCAGAACTTGGAATCCTTAATGACTCATTTCTGGCTGCTGCATGGTTTTTGCACAGTGTTTTGAAGAGCATTGTGGGGATGCTGAAACAGGGTTTTCTTACTCTGCTGGCAAGCAAAAGCACATGACATGGGCTGGACCAGTGTTCTGGAGCTGGTTTGGGATCCAGGGAGTGTTTTGGAGTGGCTGCAGCAGTGCCTGGAATGGTGACATGATGCTAAAAGGAGCTGACCTTTGTTCAGCTCCAGCTGTGCGTGTGGCAGAGTCAGCCTGGGCTCCAAAGTGGGGGATTTTGAAGCCCTTAAATGGCTAATTTTTCCTGATATGCTGTGACAGTGCCCCTGTAGAACAGTCTGAGCTTTGTGGCTGGCTGCAAGTGATAGCAGAGGCATTTCTAGTGCTTTTCAAACTCAAATGACTTTTTACACTTCAGCGAAGAAAGCAAGTCCTTTACCCTGGGATATGAGCTGGGAACACATGGACAATGATTTTTCACCAGCCAGTCTGTTGTCAGAACAGCGATTGTCATTGACAGAGAAGTTAATAAACATTAAGAGGATATTCCACAATTGACATCTCCAGTCCACTGCCTTAATACTGGTTGTAACTCAGCTCAGGGCCTTACAGAATCTTGTGTTTCCCAAGCTGTCATTTGGTTGTGTTGGATGGAATTAAATCTGTTTCAGATGTGGAAAAATTGATCTTTATTTTCTGTACTTAGGTGGGATTAGGCTGGGACTGTAAATTTTTGGACAGAACCTGTGCAGCTACAGTATGCTAATGTATGGTGCTTAGGTTTGCTTATGGAATACACAAAAGGTATGATATAAATAATAAATTGCTACACACAATAATGGAAGAAAATCAACTGGGAATAACAAATTGTCCTTAGAATCTCTTAAGAATATACTGTTTGCCTAAGGAGGAGAGTTTAATTAAACTCCAGGGTGAAATGCATCCCTGGGGAGGTGGCCAGCACATGGCTTATGAATCAGTTGCACATTAACCTGTTTCTTCTAGTTCAGAAACAGATGTATGGGGTAAGTGTTTGATTCTCTGGTCATTGGGGAACAAATCAGTGTCCCTTGATGTGTGCAGGGGGAAGATGTTCTTTAGGACTTTGGGGTGGTTTTCTCCTCTTTACCCCTCTGTTCTGTTTCACTTCAGCAAACCCCAGAAGATCAGTCCATTGTAAGAGCATGGAGGGGCAGGAAAAGAGGGAATGACCACATGGAAGAGAGTATATTTAGACTAGATATTAAAGACAAGTTTACTGGAGAGGTGATGAGGAGCTTGCCCAGAGCAGCTGTGGCTGCCCCCGTCCCTGGAAGTGTTCAAGGCCAGGTTGGATGGGGCTTGGAGCAGCCTGGTCTGGTGGGAGGTGTCCCTGCCCATGGCAGGGGGTTGGAAGGAGGTGTGAGTCTGTGAGTTCCCTTCCAACCCAACCATTCTGTGATTCTGTGTTTCTATGATTTCCCACTTGCTGTTGATTCTCCTTCTCCTTTCAGCTGCTCAGGAGAGCTGCTGACCTCCACTGCTGCCTTCTGGAAGTTTGTGTGTGCCAATGGCCCTGAGGGAGACCCTGAGCACCCTGTGCTTGGAAAGAGGAGGTGCAGAGGCAACACCCAGAAATGTCTGAGCTCTGCAGAGGATTGGAGCAGGTAACAGCTTTACAGAGGATGTTCCAGTCTGAGGATCAATCTCTGCCTCCAAAGAAGGTAGGAGAAATCATGGTATTTACCCTGTAGAGGGCTCAGTGTTGCTGAGTACCCTTTGTTCTGATATGAAAGGCCATGGAAACACAGGAATAAAACCATTAGGATGTTGTGGCTGCTTCCTGCCTTACTTTCTTCACAGCCTGTTGCAGGTGTAATGAAAGCAAATGTGGTCCATTGGGCAGCTTTCTACTGAGGGGAGTACAGTGAAGGCTGTGATACCTATTAATTTGATAAAAATAAGTATGAGGCAAATATTGATCCTGATTCCAAAGCCAGCTGTGGCAAATGATACATTCTTAGTCAGATCTGCTTTCTGTGGTTTTTCAGAGAAGTGTCTTACCGTGCCTGATGAACACAATTATTTTATGTCTAGTATAGATGAAAGGACATTATTCTACTTCAGAATTATGGTTAAGTGAAGTTCTAGGAAAAATCAGTTCTTTACTAGCCCTAAGTAGTCTTACTGGTAAGATAGACAGTAGCAGGGAACTGGTAAAAAGTACAAGCAGAAATGTGTTGGTAAAAAAGTCGTGCTTTGAGATTGAAGGAATATCAGTGAAAAGTTTGAGTATGAAGAGAACAGGCATGTGCCAGAGAACAAAATCTTTCTGACTAGAAATTGTCCTAGTGAAAAGACCAAAACCAGACCTTGGAATGCTACTGATCAGCCACTGTGTTTGGTACAATAGGCTTGGTAAGGCATTGAAGTGCTTGAAAGAGCTCTAAAATGAGTGGTAAGTTTTTTGTGGCAACTGAGTGTTTTCCAGACTCCTATTACCCTGGACTTCTACAGGAGAAGTGGCTTTTATATAAGATCAAATACATTCTGGGTGTATGTGAGCACAGTGGTTGTGCACTGCAGGTCTGGGAGCACTGGGATCGCTGACTCCTGTGTGCACAGACCCTGCAGGGGAAGAGAGAGCTCTGGAGCCTGGGCAGACAAACTGATCAATAAACCACATGGAGCCCAACATTCTTAAGACAGGTTTGAACAAGTTTATTAAACCTCTGTAAGAGCTGAAAAATCACTGCATTCTACAAATCTGCATTCAGTTCTCTCTGGGTAAAATTGCACAGTAAACATAAGCAAAAATCCATGCCTATTACTTACAGCTGATTTAATTTTTCATATAAAATGTTTCAGTAAAAAGGAAATAAATTGGGCAGGCCATTTTATATGCATTGGGGCTTTGCAGTGCAGCATGTTTGTAAATAAGTGCAGAGTTTGGCATTTCAGAGAATCAATAAGGCACATTATAGAAAGTGGGAGCCAGGAGTGTTTCCCATCCTTTGTGTACTGATAAGTCTGGGAACAGATCAATGACTTTCTGTCAGCATTCAACAATGCCCCAACATCGTTCTGAAGTAATTGGGCAATTCATAGAATGAAAGATGCCATCCAAGGGCTCTAATACTAGTTTCTGTGAGAAGAGCATTTATCTGGTATTGAGGTGTTCTGAGGAGACCAGGCAGTCATCCTCCTTTTTCTTCCTCTTCTTTTTTGAGGTAATTCACTTCCTTTTAAAGTTACAAGTAAACAGACTTCAAAATGACAGCAGAAAGGCAAATGTTGTCTTTTCATGGCCTCACCACTGAAGAATAGAGCAGCCTTGGGTTGAGTTGCTTCTTTTTGCCTGAGGACTCTTTCAAAGGAGGTCTGAAGCTTTCATACTCCAGTGCTTGCAATGCAGATGGAGCAGAGAATATCTTTATGCTTATTATTAGTGTCTTTCCGTGCCTGGAAGTAAGATGTGCTTGGTTACTGGTGCCTCCTTTTTCCCTCCTTTGCTGCTGAACTGTGAACAGTTGAACTCATAGGGGAAGGAGAGAAAATGGGTGCTGTTTGTGCTCAGGACTTCCCCTGTGTGTCTTAGTGAAAATGTTGAGAGCTGCACCTCTGTGGTGATGTGGGGAGCAGAGCCAGCCCCAGTGAATGAGGGCTAAGCCCAGCTTGTGATAATAGGAGGGACTGTATTATGTTCCTGCTCCATTAGAAAGTGTCAGAGCTGCTTTGGGCTCAGAATTGCCATCAATGTCAGGAAGGAAGAGGAATAGCAAACATGAAGGCTCCTGAGACTTGTAACTATCATACCCTGGTCAGAGACCTCAGGAGTTTTGTGGTGTGGCCAGCAGAGAATTGGAAAACTTGTGTGCAGCATCCCCTCGTTCTTTCAGTTGTGCTCCATATATCCTTCAGCAGCACAGGAGGAACCTCAGGACAGTTGTGGGCATCTCTGTGGAATTTGATGACTCTTGTTTGTGCTGTCACCCTCTATAAACTGAATGTGAAGTCTTGGCCTGAGAAAAACTGTTGTGCCAAATATTGGAGGTCTGTTTAAAAGGATGTTCTTGTGCTGAGTGTGAAGAATAAAGCTATAGGAATGTTTCCTTTCTTCTGGAAACTTGTCAGTGTTCATGCTAGTCCAAAAACTGGGTGTGCCTCTGGGAAGTGGAGCTGGAAGGGCAGCAAGGCCCAGGCTGTGCTTCTCTAAATGTTGTTTGTTTCTGGAATAGGGATACCCAGAGGGTAGATAAAGGGTGTTTGTGGTGCTATGTGAAAATTAAAACCAGAAACTGAGTTAATCTCTGGAATAAATACTTGTTGTGGAGCTGTTTCAGGAACTGCACTGGTATGGTGTGTAGAATCTCTTCTAGTCCAGTGGTCTTTTCCTTCCTCACCAGTTGAAAACTGCTGGTTTAGTCCTTTTGTTTTATTATTTCCACTTGCAAAGTAGCATGTGCCCACCATTGCTTTTCTAGTGTGCTCAGGCATCACTTTTAGGAAGTATATGGCACAGAAAGGGAATGACTTTATCCATCCTTCCTCCCCCACCCCTTGGACCATCCTTTCTCTCCTCTTTATCCTGGCACATATCCTGTATGAAATGGCATTTCCTAGTTCAGTGCTTGTATGGCCGAGTCTGGGAGGTGCAATGGCAGCGTGGTGGCATCCTTGGCTCCTCCTAACTCAACCTGTGCAAAATGCAGTCTGTACACAATGTCTGCAATGTGAGCATGTCCAGCACAATCATTATCAGGGGAACAGACCTAGAAAGAATATTATTCATTGCAACATTGGGGAGATGAAATCAAACCCTGTTTCAGTTGTTGATGTAGGAGGTTTCTCCTCATGGTGCCAGCAAATGCTTTATTTGCCTCAGTAAGGTATTAGTCCAAGGTGTAAATTCTGAATGGTTTCAAAATAAAACTCATTTAAACTGTGCCAAATACTTTGTCATTTCTTCCTTCTCTTTCAGACGTGAATTCCTTATTTTTTCTCATAACTTAGTCCTAACTCTTGCAGTTCATAAATTGAAGGGGGGATTGCTGCTTTGTTATAACATGAAATTGACTTTGCATGTAAGTGTTTGTTTTGATATCTGCTTCAAAACTTAGTCCTGAGCTCAGGAGAATGAACAATTATTTCTTTCAAGCTGATTTAGTCCAAGTGGAAGAAATTGCCTCTACTGCTACATGCACTGTGGAACCAAAGAGCTCTTGGATAATTTTGCTGAGGTTGCAACAAGATCTTGCTTATAGTGCAGAGCTGATATTTATTGTTCAGCATTTTCCAGAGAGCTTTATACATGGTTGCATATCAAAAGAGAGCTAGGAAAGGATAGTCTGTGACATGTAAGGCAGATTTGACAGGAAAATCCCTTAGACTGCCCAGAGCTAAAGCAGCAATGATGGCCATGATGCAAACCTGGCTGCTGTGCCTCAGCCCCAGGTGACAGAGGGATGATGTGCCAGGCAGTGTCTGCCCGTGTTTCATAGAGGTGGCACCATGGGAAACTCCAGCTGGACAGGGATAGCAGCAATGCTCAGCAGGGCAGGATGTGATGCAGCCTCTCCCAAACTGCCCTGGCCTTTGCATTTCAGCTCAGGGTAAAACCATCCTGTGGTTTGATTTTCTGTCTAATCATTCATCTTCAGGCACAGGTGTAAAAGAGCAGACCATAGGGAGAAGGCATTGTTTAGCAATCACATTTCCCATTGCTCTTTATTTTTATTAACACTATTTTCACTTTATGTTATTCAGCTAAAATTAGCCTTCTGTCTCCTCGCCTCCTATTCTCCCACTCCCTGGCTATTTGGCAGCTGGGGTTGGGTTTTTCTCGTTGTTTTTCTACCTTCCTCACTGACTGGGACATAAATTGTTTGAGCAAGAAGGAATTAGAGTAGGACAGATGGCACCACCTGCTGCTAGTGCTTTGCTCCTTGAAAGGCTTCCTGGCCTCTGAGTCTGTTTTGAGCAAGATGAGGAGGAGACAGGTTTATCCAGAGAACAGCTATTATTCTGGTTCCCCTTCTCTCTCTCCTGTGAGCATCCTATCTGCTGGTGGCAGGCAGGAGAAAATCTTATTTTCTTTGAGTTTTTAAAGGCTTCAGGTTCTTCTGCCATTTCTGCTTCTGCTGCCAGCTCTGTGCTTTTCTGTCTATCCCTTTCCCTCCTTGAGAATCCAGTACTGGCTACTTCAGGGAGGATGCTAGCTGGGGAGGAGAAGGAGGAAAGAGAAGATGGAAAGGTCAGAAATTGCTGTGGTCCCTCGGTCCTGTGTGACCTGGCAGAGCTGCTGGTCCTGGCAAGATCAGGCTCTCCATGAGGTGCTCACTGGGCTCCCTCCCACAGCTTACAGCGAGTTCTTGTGAAAAATAATACCCACGAACTCAACATGAAGAGTAGAGCCTGCTCACGTCTTTCCAAGCCCGTTTGTCTAGAATCTTTAGTGAACCTGATTATGAACAAATCACAATTAAAAAAACCCCAGATTTCTCTTCATAGAAATGAATTCAAATTGAATCAAACCAAAATGGGAAAGTCACACTGGAGATCCTCAGCAATTTTCTTAGCTGACTTGTACCCAGCACAGTAACTTTTCCTTCAATCTGAGGATCTAGCTCTTGTACCCAGTTACATGCAGAATTCTCACTAATTATGT